ATGTTGTCAGAAGGGACCATTCCCTGGAGAAGGATATCATGCTTGGTAAAGTGGAGGGTCAACAAAAAAAATGAAGGCCCTCAACAAGATGGATTGACACAGTGGCTGCAGCGATGGGCTCAGGTACAGCAGGGATCATGAGGCTGGCGTAGGACTGGGCAGTGCTTCCTTCTGTAGTACATGGGGTCATTATGAGTCAGAGAAGACTCAATGGCACCTAACGACAATTATTAAAGCTGATCTAATTGGAAAAAAAAATTGGGTTGCTCTAGTTTTCCATTGACTTAAATCAAAGGCATGGTAGTACTAAGAGATGTCCTAAGGAATCTGCTGTATTCCAGATATACTCTTTATCTCCATTATGTAGTATCACTCCAATTTTCCCTTGGCAACGAGGATTAATCATGCTAGCCAATATATTCCTTTCATTGTCTCTTGATACAGAGGCATGATAAGCCTAAAATGACCAGGTGACATGCTTAATTCTAGTCCAATGGAATCACTTTTGTGTCTCCAAGTGGGGGTATTCCTGCTTTTGGGACTAAGACTTAAAGATCCACATAGCATAGGGTCATGGGGACAGGAAGCAAAAATTTTTTGAGTGGATTATTAAGGGTAATAGTGAGTGGTGCCACTCCCATTTCTAACCCTTGGTTCTTGGACCCATGAATCCTGGTTATTCAGAAAACTACCATATATTGGACATTTGTTGACAACATATACAATTTCCTGGAGAACACTTCCCCAACTCTGTGAGGTATTGCTTTACATAGCTGGTGCCATATTTGTGTTTTTAGAAGGTAATCCCATTGTTCTATAAAGCCAGCTTCTTCAGGATGTTAGATAACATGGTAAGACCAGTGAATTCCATGAGCATGAGCCCATCACTGCACTTCATTTGCTGTGAATTCCCTTGATCCAAAGCAATGATGATTGGGATACTATGATAGTTGATATGGGATTCTGTAAGTCCACGGAAGGTAGTTTTGGCAGAAGAACTGTGTACAGGGAAGGCAAATCTGAATCCAAAATAGGTGTCTATTTTAGTTTAAAAAAAAAAAAGACTGCCTTTTCTATGATGGAAGTCGACCAGTGTTATCAATCTGACACAAGGCTGCTGGCTAATTACCTGAGGAATGGTTCCATATTGGAGACTCATTTTTGGTCTCTGCTGCTGGCAGATTGGGCACTCAGCAATAAGTCAAGCAGGCATTGATGGTAGGAAGTCCATGTTGCTGAGTCCATTCATAACCTCCATCCCTATCACCATGGCCACATTGTTCATGACCCAACTGGGCAATAACAAGAGTGGCTGGGGAAAGAGGATGATTGGTTTCCACAGAACATGTTGTCCTATTTATTTGATTTTTAAAATTCTCCTCTACTGAGGTCATCTTTTGGTGAGCATGCACATGAGACACAAGTATCTTCACTTTTTTTGTCCATTCAGGGAGGTCTGTACATATAGCTCTTCTCCATACTTCTTTGTCTTCAGTTTTCTAATCATATTCCTTCCAAGTCCCTGACCATTCAGCCAAACTACTGGCCCATGAATCAGCATATAATAGCATATCTCTTACATAACAATTCCATTTAATGCTGAAGTGCTGCTGTGCACATCCAACTTTATGACTCCATGGGTCAGACAACACCAAATTAATGATGGCCACCTTAGGCTGTGTTTTGGTTACCTCATGCTGCTCTAACAGAAAATACCACAAAAGGATGGTTGTAACAAACAGGAGTTTACTCTTTTACAGTTTTGGAGGCTAGAAGTCTGAGTTCAAAGTACCAGGCTCTAGGGACTGGGTGGAACCCCCTCGACCTTGGGCTTCACCTCTCTCTCTTGCTCCTGGCCCACTGAAACTGGAGGCTTTCTTCACTCAGGCAGCTGCTGGCTCCTGAGGCTGATAAACCCAAGGTCAACAAGTAAAAACAGCACAATCTGGATATTACCAAAGCACATATCAGGTCCATTAAGAGTTCCAAGATTGGCAGACAACAGGGTGGGCTACTGAATGAAGACTTGGCTACATGCAGGATTCAAGTGTGCCAAAAGCTACAGACCATTCCCAGAGCTTCTCTTTATATACCAGAATCAGACCACTTCCCTAAAACAGCCACTCAGCTGCTTGCAGCAGATTTCACCATAGAGTTGATTACCAGTTGCACCATAGGGAATAACTACAACAAGATGCCCAGCCACTCAAAACCAGGCCCAGCCAAGTTAACACAAAAACTTAATTACCACAAACTGTATGGTGACTTGGAAGCTCATGTTTAGGCATTAAGTCACTACTTAAGCCCAATAACAAAACAAGTCAAAAGCTGTTTCTCAATAAAAGAGTACTTATCTTCAGAAGATGGCATGGCTTTTCTTCAAAATCCTGAGGGTTTGCACACTGATTCACCAATAGAGGCCTGCCAAAGACTCCAAATAGCATCTTTATATCTGCCACTGTCACTTCAAGCACCACTGGATCAGTCAGATCATATGACCTAAGTGGCAAAGTCGTGTGCATGGCAGCCTGAACTTGTTGCAGAGCCTTCTCTTGTTCTGGGGCCCATTCAAAACTAGCAACTTTTTAAGTCACTTCACAAATAAGCCAGAGTTGCACACCCAAATGAGGGATATGTTGCCTCCAAAATCCAAAGAGGTCTACCAGGTGATGTGCTTCCTTTACTGTTGGAGGAGAAGCCAGATGAAATAACTTATCCTTCCTTTTAGGTAGGAATATCTTGACATGGCCCACACCACTGGACCTGTAGAAATTTCACTGAGGTGGAAGGCACCTGAATGTTGGATTAATTTCTCACTCTCTAGCATGCACATGTCTTACCAATAAGTCTAGGATCATTAACACTTCTTCTTTACTATGTACAATCAGCAAAATGTTATAAATGTAATATATCAGTGTGAAGTCTTGTGGAAGGGCAAGTTGATTAAGTTTCCTGCAAATTAATCATGACATAGTGCTGCAGAGTTGACCACTGAGGTAAGATCATAAAAGTGTATTGCTGGCCTTGCCAGCTAAGAGCAAACTACTTCTGGTGATGTTTTAAAACTGGAATTGAGAAAAAGGCATTGACCTGATCAACAACTGCATACTGAGTACTAGGAGACGTATTAATTTGCTCAAATAATGAAACTACATCTGGAACAGCAGCTGAAACTGAAGTCACAATCTGGTTAAGTTAATAATAATCCACTGTCATTCTTCAATATCTGTCCATTTTTTGGACAGGCCAAATAGATGACTTAAATGAGGATGTTGTGGGAATCACCACCCTACATCCTTCAGGTCCTTGATATTAGCATAAATCTCTGTCATCCCTCCAGGAATGTAATATTGTTTTTGGTTTACTATTTTCCTAGGTAAGGGAAGTTCTGATGACTTCCACTTGGCTTTTCCTACCATAATAGCCTTTACTCCACATGTCAGGGATCTAATGTGGTGTTTCTGCAAGTTGCTGAGTATATCTATTCCAATTGTGCATTATGGAACTGAAGAAATCACCAAAGATGAGTTTGGAGATCCACTGGACCCAGTGTGAGATGGATCTGAGCTAAGACTCTATCAAAACTTGACCTCCCATACTCTAAGAAGTGGACCCACAATGAGGTTGTAGGTCTCCTGAAAATAGTGCCAATTTAGAGCCAGTGTCCAGTAATCCTCCAAAAGTCAGATTATTTTCTTTTCTCCAAAGAACAGTCACTTTCATAAAAGGCCATAGATCACTTTCAGGAAGGTTGGGAGAAAGATTAACCATATAAATTTTTGACAGTGTAATGAGGTAAGAGACCCAGCTTCCCTTTCATTCAAGGTGTTGTGGCTATATAAATTGGCTTAAGTTTGGAAATGATTGAAGGATTCTGACTGTATTCTGGTAATTAAAGTTAGACTTCTGTTCACTTGACCTAGAATCTTCTGCTGGTACAGATCAAGTAAATATTTAGTATATTTCCCATCTATTTCACTCCTAGGGGCATCATGACTAAGAAGCCAATGTCATAAGTCCATATGAATCATACTATTCTGAGTGCTGCCTTGATTCTACTGCTCAATAGGCAACTGAACCCACCTTGTCTTTGTCAGTTAAGTGCTGCCACTTAGTCCCTACCACAACTCCAATCTGTCCCATTGTAGTTAGGTGCCTAATTCAATTAAGCCATTTCCCACTGTCAAATATGACTCACATAAAAAAGCAATCATTATGGATGCGTGTGAGGGGTCCGCCGGGGCCGGGGCTCGGCGCATGGGGCAGGGCTGATGGTGGGAGCGCTATGAGCTGGGGGTCAGGGTCCTCACTGGGGGCTTCCTCTGCCCGCCAGGGTGGCCGGGCGCCTCCGGGACGCGAGCGCGCACGCCTCGGCTGGGCGGAGGGGCTCCGCGCGCCGCCTTCTCCGCAGGTCTTTATTCATCTCATCTCCCTCTTCCCCTTCTCCTCCTCCTCTGCCTCCTTCTCTTCCTCTTCCTCCTCCTCCTCCTCCACCGCCGCTGCCGCCTCCTCTTGCATCTCACTGGCCTGGCTCTGTGTTGCTCGGAGTGACAAAGACAATGTCCCAGCCTTAACTTTGCAACCACCTTGCCTCCTTCTGGGGCTCAGCGGGGGGATGGGACGGAGGGCAGCCAGCCACAGCCGTAGCATCTCCAGCAGCTTCTCGCTTCTCCTGCTCTTCTCCAGCTCTTCCATAATTCTTGCCTGTTTCTCCCCGGCCCTTTTCTGATTTTCCTTTCCCCCCTTGTCTTCGTCTCTCTCTCTCTCTCCCTTCTGCACGTCGTTGTTGTTATTCGAAAGGCTTCGCGCACCCCCTGGTGCTCCGGCGTTTTGTGTGGCAGGAGATTGTCTTCCTTCTCTCTGTCTTGCTTTCTCTCTCCCTCTGGTTGCTCATTATTCAGAGAGAGACACAGAGGGAGGGAGCGAGAGAGAGAAGAGAGAGGGAGCGAGGGAGAGGGAGGAGAGGAGCGAGCGGAGAGAGGGGAGAGAGTGAGAGGGTGAGGGAGGGAGGGGAGAGAGGGAGAGAGAGACGGATATCTCAGGTCATCTGCAGCTGCAGCGAGTCTGAGGAGCCCGGGAAGGCAGGGAAGATGGCGATCCTCCATTACTGAGACCCGGCAGAAGCACATGAGACTCTCCAACAACTTCCACAACAATAACCCGAGCAGGAAGAGGAGAAAGAGAAAGAGGATAAGGAGGCGCTGGGGCTGGAGAACCCGAAACACCTCCCGGCGCCGGGACGCTGCTTCTGT